AAGTACTTGTCTTTAACCTAGGTCATAGGTCGTGTCATTGGTATTTTATTAGTCCATCAATAAAAAAACGTCTGAAAGGACAGTTTTTCTGTATTAAGCCTGGTAATTAATAGTCCGGTAAAACAGCTATACAAAGAGATATATTTTCAGTTGGTATTTACCTTTTACCAGAGGAATAAGTTATGCCTTCCCAGCATTGTCTCTTCTGTCTTTCACTAGTGCAGGGACAGTACTCTAGTTATCAGTATCTTTTGTAATGTGTAGAAGTAATATGGGTGTACAACGGCCATTTTCTTATTTGTAACCCATTAGTTAAGCGAAATCCCAGGCTGAGTATTATTTGGTCACATTACGTAACTATAGTTGAGAATGAAAACCGACACTGTAGAGTGGATGAAGTCACTGAATGAACATCTGGAGTCCCTAGTTGGTCACACAATAACGGCAAAATTTCAAAATCACCATTTGCATGTCGATAATAAAGTGGTCGACATTTTTTAAGACTCCATCCTCTTCTGAATGTTCTTAGAGGCGACTAAAGCAAAACTCAGTATCGACTTCATCAACCGTAGGAGTTTTCCAAGCCATTCAAACCTAGAAAAACCACATTAACTGTGGAAGTGGTCTCACTTAGAAGGATCGACATCTCCATAGTGTCTCATATGGCGTAAACGGAGACGACGAGATGATACGAAGAGCAAATCAAGATAAAAGCAGAGGAGAAAATGAAGCATATTATGTAAACGACTGTCTTAGTGCAAGGTGTACCATATTTGAAGGCTACTGTGCCACACTGGTGTCGCTGTTTCTGGACGTGATGAATATTCCGTGACCTGCAGTGTTCCAGGACGAAAACACCAAGGCCTTCCTCATGGACTTCGAGTAGGTCACGGAGCTGATGGGTGTCCGGGATCTAGGAGCGAAGGTTGTGGTGCTTGGTACGTTGCTGAGGTGTAGTGTGGAAGCAGCATATGACGGCGTGGAACGTGGGGATGGGAAGGAGACTTGACAGAATCCTTACCCAATGCTGGTAATTCCCCATGATTTCTGCATCCCTCTCAACACATACTACTTACATCAATTCTTATCAGCAACGCCCACTACACTAGAACCAAACAGCTACCTAGTGCTGCCAGATTCCCAATAGTCCTACAACTAATGCCAGCCCGTGATGGACATCAAATTGAAGTTAATAAATCCCCACAAACCTCTAAATTGGATTGAAAGTCACATCAAAATTCGATAACTCTCGCTTGAACACTTTTTAAAAACTGCCAATGATGACCATGAAGAACGATAGGAAGTGAAGAAAAAATAGAGTATATGTGTGTTAGTAACAGTAAGATTTTGTATGACACTTAATCGTTTATATTAAATACTCCTGGAATCCTCTTCGAAAAAAGGCTTGTAAAGAAAGTCAGTGCTAAAATCAAATATTGTTGAACTTCATTTCAAAATAATCAATTATGCAAATAACGAAAAATCTCCATAGGGTCATCGAGAAAGAAAAGGAGGTTACAGCAAGGATAATTATCTTTTCGACAATTCATTTTCACAGCTATGAATTCATAAGCATCTAAGTATGATAACAGAATCTTCCTGACAGGTTTCCACTCAAAGATCAAATTTAATCGATAGATTTAAAGAGGAAATGAAATAATATTACATCATACAGAAGATGACCTTAAAAGTTTAACAGAATTAAAGAAAGAACATTGAATAGCAAGGTTTAGTATCTGGGGTGAATAGATAAATAAATATATCGATCAATAAATAAATAAATTGCCGAAAAAGCATAAACAAACGTATAGAGTAACTGCTTAGTGCCACAGTAAAGAGTGTTTGTAAGTGTTTCTTTTGAATGGACAATCAGCATTCAAAGATGCGAAGTGCCATAGCTTTAGCTGTGCATACGTTTCTGATCCTCACCCCTTTTCAACAGTTTGACCAAACTTTACAGTAGACTTTGTGGGGGATTTCTAAAGGAGCCAGAGTCCACAGTCTACGAGGTGTTCAAAGATGAAGCTGGAGACAAAATTTTCCTCACCTTTCATCAGTTAGGCTGAGCAATGTTAGCGAGTGCCTTTTTTGGAGAAAGCGCATAGTACGATCAATGTACTGAGTTCCACAGGAGCCAGTTGACTTGTAAGTGAGCACTGATGAGGCCCAGTAGGTCGGTTTGTCTCTTACGCACTGACGAATCAGGTGCTGATACGCGAAGACAGTGCGAGGTTTTGGAGCATAGAATGTCTCATTGAGGGACTTTGACAAGCGCTCATGAAGGATGTCCATGATAATATCATGTCTGAATTTGAGGTTTGTTAAAAGCATTTCCTTTGAAACTGGTTGAATCTATTTCAAAGTCTTCTTTTCTTTCATATTCTTCTCGATGTAGCTATCCTCTAACAGTATTTCTCAAGGGGTTCTTGAATAAGTATATCATCAGTGCAAATCTTTCTTAATCTTAATGAGAATGAGAGCGCAATGTTTCTCTTCTTACTCAAAGGCACCCAACTTTGAAAATTGGTCAGTTCCCCTTTCCTAGTAAACTTCCTGTAGATGGGTCCTTGAAATGAATTACCAGGTCTCCTTTAGGTTTGATACTAAGGGAATGAAACGCTGAGTTCAATTTGGCTTCTAGTGTAAAGTCAACTGATAGGTGGCTTTCGCTGAAATTTTGAAGCAGGGGTGTCACGTTCAGGTTCTCATCATAAAAAACGAAGGTACCGTCCATGTATCTTCTTATATACATGAAAATGATCGACTGTTGTAACCAACGTGCTAATTCTAAACCTAGCCGTATGGCAATCGACAAGCAGAGGATAACAATATATTTAATGTAATACTGGGTAGTCGAAATTAGAGAGTCGTTATTCAGAGTAAACGACTGAACGAGAATCAGTTTAACAACGCTAACTACTTTTGATTAAAGGTTAAAATGGTAAAATGGATTCCAGTTGCCTCGATAATGAAACTTAACATAAGAAGAGAAAATCAAATATAGACAGTATGTGAATGTGTATGTGTGTGAACACACAAAGGGAGTAACAGTGATGGTCTAATAGACGTGACAAGTCAAGATTCACAAATCTATGGGGACATAACTGAAGGAATTCGGTAAATTTACAGCTACAAGGAATGGATCGACGGGTATGTACAAGAAGTTGAGAAGTTTAACATCCAAACGACTGACTTCAAGTTTACTCAGGAATTTTTCGATTTCAAAGTTGGCCAAAGTATCTGTAATGGTTTCACGTGTTTCTTTTGTACACATTATTCAAGTTGTTTACTGCTCAATGGCTATTAGCTTCTATTGTTTAAAATATTCAGTGTCAGATAAATTTCCGTAATTGAACGGGGGCACAAGGAATAGTGAAAAATGATTGGTTCACATTAGTTTTATGGTCTGTTGGAAGTAAGTGGGCTACTGTTGAGCTATTTACGCATTTCATCAGAACTTTATTTGGGCATCCTGGGAGGTATTCACGAACGTCAAAAACTAACTTCATAGAACATCTCCCGACAAAACTGGTTCCATAGGACCAACTGAATTAATAAATACCATAGGAATTGACAAGTCTATATATTTGATCTTTCAGCCTCAGTAACACAACTGGGTGGAGGTGTAGAAAACACCAGCTGAAATTTTCCTGTGTTAAATATTCGCTGAACAGATCTTCGTAGCTTCAGAATTAATATCTTGCATAGCATTTCCTCTCTAAAGCGGTGTCTTGTTCACAGTTCAGATATACTTCTTGCCTACTTTCTGTGTCATATGCTTTTCTGAACATATCTGTATAGTTATTTTCAGCTAAGGTCTCGTGTAAGAACTTCAACTATTCATCCGTCGTATCCTCGGAATATATAGCTCTTCTGACGTTGCTTGTATCATGTCGTTATTGACTAGATGGAACTGATTGGTAGCTATTGGCATATGGGCTTCTGCGTGGATGTATCGATGTTACTTGTAGTTTCAATGTGATATTAACGATGGATAGCGACCAGAGGTGGAATCTAGGACATGCGTTCCATTGTATTTAGGACTTGTCAACTGGATGTAGATGTCCCCCAACGACTAAGGTTGTTCTCACTAAGTCCAGTGGATAACAACCTGACGTTTGAAGTGGTTGGCTTCGGGTTCGAGTCCCTTTGAGAACAACATCGCTCACTGGGAGGCAAGTACGTACAGCTGACGAGTCCCAAACAGGACAAAACGTCTGTCCACTACTAACCATTATCCACTACTGATATCAATAAATGGTTCTCAGTCTTTGCTAAATTCCATTTACATTGCAGGGGAACGAAGCTAAGAAAGTGTGCACATCGTCCTGTTCATGCATTTTTCTTTTGTAAGTTCCTCTTTAGTGATCCATCTGTTCTTCCTCATAGAAAAACATCCCGAAAGGCTATCTTATTCTGTGCTTTAATGTCACATGTGAACTTTATAGCGGGGCATTCTTCACTGAAATTGGTAAGTTTCTGCTTTTTAGCGAACATGCTTCCATCCATAAACTGTCTGTAGAACTTAAATCTGTCTTTACCCTCTTGGTAAATAGCAACTTGATAGTCAGTTCTTGTTACACAAAGTATTCATACGACTATGTGGAAGGTGTCAAAGTTGGAAATTTACTGATATGCAAACGCATCTGGTAAAAATTACAATATATCTGACACTTGATTTTCAAACATGAGATCGCTGGGATTGTTTACTCAACCATTTATGAACTCATCTGGCCTATATACTACTTAGATGTTTTATTTAATACTTGATCAAGTTGAGTTTAACGCTCAAATCAACAGTGTACAGCACACCATACAGAATACACCTTACATTTATTGATTACAGAAATTCGATATTGATTTCAAAGTATCATTTTTAAAGTTTAAATTAGAAGTAATTTCAGTATGTAATGGTGATTAGCAATTATTAAGTCAGTATATGATTGGTCCTCTTCGTTCATTGGTCAATTTTTCTGTCCATTCAGATTAAAGTATTCACGGTTGATAGGTATGTATGAATCAGCGAAGTAAATAGAAATTTAGTTGAGTAGCCGATTTGTGCGCCACATTATTATACCATGAATTGACATTAAAATAACAGGACTTACAGTAGTCACCATTCTTTTTTGAATTCCATATTGTATGTGACTATGCATGAATCTGAAAATATTTTATAAAACCAGTGAAACACATAATACTGACGCTCGCTAGTAACGTTTTCTATGTTCTCTCCGATAAAAAAAACACTTAGGTGAGTTCGTGATGGTGATTTTTTTATTTATTCATCATGGATATTTTAATTATTTCTATATATTTCATTAAATACCAGGATCAGATGTAACTTCCACTCATAACTAGGACATGTTTTAAGCATTACCTCATTTGCAATGCTTTATGCATGCATATAGCCTGTGTTGGTGACTGGCAGTTATGTTGTTCGCTATACCGACCAAATTGGTCAGCTGACGTCCTCAGCTAAGAGCGTGTATTTATGTGTCTGTAGGGGTGGGTGGGTACGCATGGGATATTCTGAAAGTCATGGAGATGTAAGAAGAATCACTGAATAGGGTACATTTAAGTTTCAATAAAGGTAGAATGACCTTAGTATAGCTGCATATAACTGTTCCAAAAGTGTTATCACACTTTGCTGTATGAAAAAACGCATAAAGCGCATACCAGATGTTTTCGGAAATGGAGTGTTTACAAGAATAAGACCATTGTCTGAAATGTCCACCAGTGGATCTGATTCATGCCATTCACATAAACAAAGTAAGGTTACATCGAAAGGGTTAGAAGCTCACCTTCGTTATGATAACAACAACATTGGCTATCCTCATTGACTTTGTTTAAACTAGAAACTAAAGAAATTGAGGGCGGAAAAAGATGATTCCTGTTAAGTGTGAAATGAGTCAAAGACATTCTACAACAGGCATTCACAAATTCCTACATTATAGACCATTTCCTCATGTTGGTGACTACATCATGCTTAGAGGCGTTCAAGGTGACCGACAAAACTAGGCTGAGTAGATTATTACTAGCCTGTTAATTCAACTGGGTTCACATAAATATTCATGTAAATTTTAGTGAAGATGTTACTGTTAACCTATGCTAGGATGACTGTTAGCTATTCAGGGTCCGTTTGGATATTTTATAGTTTGAGGCTTTGCTTATCTCCCTCGGATAGGTTTTAATTTCTACCCTTTATTAAAGTAAAGACTCACTGTCGTACGAGATGAGTAACTTTGTCATGCCAAGAAGCTGTGAAACACCTCCAATACTCCCATATATTAACTAAGCAGACATTTTGTGTATGAACAGATTCTGCGAAGACATCCAGCATATCCAAATAATGAAAAGGAAATCTTCAGCAACCAAATTCCAAGTGAACCATGAAAACTAAACTGATGACTCGATGATTTTATTGAGTAATACTCACCGTGAATAGACTGACTAAGAATCAGACCACTGTCAATTAAACTGCCGTCACCATCCTTCCTCTATTGCAGACATCTACTTCCAAATTAGTGTCATAAATATCCACAAGGCAAGCTATCGGTCAGCTTCATTACTTGTGTGCAGTCGGATTTATTGTTCCTGTGCTACTGAAATCCAATGAGATGCGTCTTCAAACCTTTTTACATACTGTTTCCATTCCCGTAGCATTCCACTTCTTTAGCTAGCCTGGTCAGATAAGAAAAGAGCACTTCCGGTACATTCTACACACTACTTAAAGAAAAAAATTCATGTAAGGAATACAAAAGAAACTGATCCAGTTATCCTGTGCATATTCGTGCAGTAGGCAATGAGCCACACTTGCCATGTGAGGGCTACTGATGATAATACCTGGCTGCTCAAACCTTGGTAGGTGGAGCGAGGTTCAAACCCATGACCCAGTGGTTGAAAACCAATTCCGTTACCCAATGAGTCATAGCTCCATCCCATAGACTGTGAGAAATCACCTTAGATGGACTGGTTCTATTATAGAGAAATCCCATTAAATTCTCCCTTTATGATTTTAAAACAGGATGTGAAAAGCAACGCACAAATGAATTAAATCCTTTAAAAGTATATCTTTGTTAGTGTATCTTTTATGTTTGGTACACATTTAAAACCTGTCTTATTGGGGGTTTATTTACTTCTGTGTGTACATCAAATAACTTTGGTTTGTTTCGAAGAAGTTGTCTCCTTGTTGCTACTATTTGTTTACTTTGAACAAACTTATTGCTCCTCACGATAGGTGAATAATCCTCAAAAGTGTTTCTCTTTGACATTGTAGCCAGTTACTGGAGTCTCGATTAGAGGATATTTCACCAATCCACTAATTCAGTCTTCAGTTGCAAGGATAATTTAACCCCTTTCAACGTTTAGCAGTGAGAAGTTTACTTAAAACCTGGATGCACACCGAAGATACTAAGAGTAAGAAGAAAAACTACTGAAAAGTCGTTTCGGCCTTTTGAAACAAATTGGGTGGTGGTGGTGGGTATTTTCCTGTTAAACTGGAATGTACTAAATAGAGATGAGTGCTAGGCTAGAAGAAGTGTGAGAGCAGGAATTACCGGTTCCGAATGTTTTTGATCGTACGGCTGTATGTGAATTTTATATCCAACCATTCCAAACATGGTTGTCTAATAGTAGTATACTTCTATTTCTTTAAAATTTCGTATCCACATTTTATTGGACTAATCCCTGATATATTCTCTAAGAGTTACATATATTGGTTTTACCGTTTTCAGTTATTACGGAAGTATTATGGTAGAAAGTCTGGTTTATGTAGGCTAATTTGGCATTATGAAAAACGGACTGATACACACTCTAAGAAAAAGCTGATTTACTTTGGTTCAGCACAGCGAAGACCTAAGATGCTTGTGACAATTTTCCGAAGAGATGACTTAAAACCTGGAACACCAGGTAAAGCGGTTTTTCTTCAGTCATCTCTTACTTAAAGAAATGAATGCCTGAAGCCTTCCTCTATTCCTACAATACCAAATAATAATGTTCAGAAGTGGATAAAAATAATCAAATCGTTTCTAAACCATTGTTTGGAATTTAATCAGTGCAGAAGTTCTGAAAGGAAGTTGGAACTTCTGGCAGTGAGTTAAAGGAAACATCTACTTACAAATAGAAAAGTGTGGTCAATTAGACAGAGATAGAAGTGTGGGAATCTTGTACAAACGTGCATTACTTTCAGCTACCACACTCTGAAATGACGCAAAAGCAGCGTTGAAAGATGAAACATCCCCTGTTGAACCTAAAATTCGTCACACTGACTGTATACGCCGTTGGAATTCCATGTCGATGAACAAATTTGAACAAGTAAATTTTCCAATATTTTTGTCTGTCAACAGTTTTTCAAATGACCCTGGTTTGCGATGAAAACCACTTGTGGATTCATGAGTCGAGTAGTTGTTAAGTGATGTTAGGTATATCAGTAATAACTATTGAAGTACACATAAGTAGTATGCAGAGAACTCACTTAGATTGTTTTTTGATTACCTCTATAACTGATTCGTCTCCTATCGCAATCTCACTGTACCAGTGAATGAGGAAGCCCTATTAGGCGAAAACTATTAAATTGCCAAACCAACAATGACTGTCGTCTTTATGATGTTCTATAAGCTTTAATACTAAAATAGAAATCTCTTACTTTTCAGATAGACTGAGTATGTTTAACACATTTAAGAGGCGAACTCTCTTAAAGTCACGTACCATGACTATAAGACCTCAATGGTCGGATATCAAATAACCTGTCAGTCCTACCTCTGGCTAAAAACTCCGTAAATTATTCTCATAAAAAGAGAAACAATACCATCACATAAAGCAAGGGGGTGAATTGAAAACCTCAAATATGGCAGATATAGAAAAATACCCAACTATCCATTGATTGATTAGAGTTCCGAAGAAAAAGTTGTACCTGAAGCATAACCGTTTTAGCTGATACTGTGCGAAATATTATCAGGTTGTTTGTATTCTCTGTTCATTTGCATACGTCACTGAATAACGAGAATAGCGTGAATAATGAAGTATTCTTTGAAGTGATTGGTTTGAATAAAAACCTGTACACCCCCTTTCCGGCCATAGTTACCACGTTTCACCTAATACCTGATCTCACCTACATGTGAACTGAGACTTGTAACATGCTAAGTATACAACTAAGATTCTGAACTGTTCTAGTCAATTTCTACCGCATTCTTTTATCACTACTACTAGGCTTCATCACTTCTTGACAAGTGATTAGAGTAAGACTTCCCTTGCTTTCCCATGATGAAGTCTCATTAACTTCAAAAGAACAGTAAAGTTATTCTTTGGAATCATCTCCTTTTCTGGTGAAAAATTATTTTCTAGATTGCAAACTAGCTTGTTTATGTGAAGATCTAAAAGTCATTTGCATAATTCAAGCTCAGTGCAAAGTGAAAAGAACTGTGCACTGACTAACTAGTCTTATATGAAGATTGGTTTTTATAAGTCGACTATTCTGTGTAACTGCTAGGCACACTTTATTTGTGTTGTTCTCAAGCATTTAACAAGAGCTCTATGTCTAGATTTGATCTTTATTTTCATTTATCAACAAAGCGAATCTACAACCTTCGTACCATAAATATCTTCCCGGAGAGTTTCGAATCCCGCTCAGTTAAGCTAATAGTTAAGAAGGTCACCACTGTGCTGCCGTTTTTAGCCACTTATCTAAGTCTCTGTACAGCTCTTTAGTAGAAGAAATTTGGTAAGCAATGACAAGTGATCAGCATAAAGTATCCAGTGGCTGATTAGAATACTTGCTTCGCTCCTAGAACAAGTCAATGGTGACCCTTATGAAGTAAGTGAAATCGGCATAATTCAAGAAAGCAAGTTGAGAGATATCAACAGAAGCTTGTAAAATATATAAAAAGCGAGGCTTAACAGCATTTGATCGCAAAATGTATGAAGATATACGAGAACGGGACAATCAAGTGTCTAATATTCACAGCTGGATAAAAAGTTGTAACAACTGAGATCTCGCTCACTTTCACTAACTGCAAAATGGTTACTGATACAGCAGCGAATATATTTTTACTTATACTGAGCACATATAATACCTGCTGAAATTCGAAGTTTTGATAGACTGAACTCTTTGATGTAATTAAGATTATAAAATACAGACTGTGCTTTCATGGTCTGCCTTTCATCTGTCTTCAGTGTTCTTCGATATCGATTTTTCGATAGATGCAGAATTGCAAAACTGACAGGGACACTGCTGCAGAATTGATGGTGTATAGA